TGACAATGAGTGTATGTATGTTCATGTATAACTGAAAAATTGTGCTCTACCCTGGAATTTGACACATTGTAAAATGACTATAACTCAATAAAAAATAAAGTGAAAACAAGTGTCTGTTATTGGCTGCTTTTATTACAGGGATTAAATTTTTTTGTAACTATGGGAGGAGCTGAATGTTAACTAAACTTCTTGTAGGAACCACTTCACTATTCACACGTGGCAGGTCACCGCAGGACACAGACTTGTACAGAGCTGTGAGTCCACTGTACCCACTAACTGGAAAGAAAAAAAAGATGGGTCAAAAAATCCTTGTGAGGGACGGGAAGTAATGCTTCAGGCTACAAAAATCAACAAGTCGTAAGGCCCAGTTCGGCTCCCGTTTATAGTTACTTCTCTGAAAGCACCAGAGGGGTAAACCAAACCAGGCTGAAGTGGGAGTGATCAGGGGGACCTGGGATGGAAAAAAAGGTGAGGGGGGAGTTTTGGGTCCTTCCCGCCAAGTTCTGGGGATTTACCTACCGTCTGAGTAAGCAGCAGGAAGACGCGAGACACACAGGCCAGATGGAGCCGGGAGGACCCGTGTCCCTCCACCTGTAGGAGCCGTTTCCACCTCTAGAGGAGCTCACCTCAGTGGCAGTTGGAAGCCACTCCCCCTCCAGTGAAATCTCATGTGAAACCACACACGGGGTTCTTCCAGCTAGGAGTCGTGTTCGGGCCCCACGCCCAACCTTGAAGGCCCTGGTAGTTCTCCAGTGACCCGTGCCCCTGCTAGTGCTCCCGGCCGCCCCCAGCACGTCCCAGGGTTTCTGCGGCGCAGCGCGGTGGGGCCTGGCTTGGACCCCGGGCTCACCACTTGGGCTGACATCTGGCTCCACTAAGCCCTGGTTGCGTCCCTGCTGTGTCCTGGGCGAGTGACTTAGCCTTGCCTGTTCCCTCCTCTGTCGGAGAGGAAGACAGAGGCAAACCGCGGAGGGTCATGAGAATGAAGGAGGCTGACACAAGCCAGCAAGGCCCCCGCGACAGCCCTGGCTTGAAGATGGGGCAAGAAGTCAGTCGCTGTCACGTCACTGCTGCTCACGGCTGACAGATCCTGGGAGGGAGTCGCCGGCCCGCTCCTCTCTGCTTTGCGGCCTCTCGCCGCCCTGGAACGAGAGAGGCGTGAAGCTGGCCTTGCTCTGTCCCCTAAGTTCTCGCCAGAACTCTCACGCCGTCAGAAGTTGCTGGACACTGCAGCTTCTCCCCGGTTTCAGGACAGGAGACAAGGGAGGCCTGGCTGAGGACACAGCAGACTCTGGGCTGCACCAGAGCTGAAATGTCTCCTGATGTCCCCAGGGAATGGGGTGTGTGTGGTTCCTCAAACCCCGTCACCAGACACGGGCCACTGCACCCCAGCTCCAAGGACAACTGCTGCATCTCTGTCACGGCGGGGGGGCTAGTCACAGGGACGTCTGACAGGCAAGGAAAGCGAGGCGCACCATCACAGCCCACCAAACGCACCAGGGTGGGGAGGGTGTCCTCGCAATGACGGAGGGGCTTTATTCTGGGCCCGCTCTCAGTGACCCTGCGCTAACAGCGTAGGTGAGGATCGCACGCTGCCCAGTAAGGGGGTGGATCAACCAGGATCCCAAACTCATATTCTCAGAGCCCATGTTCTTATGACTTTAATGTCTCTCCAAGAGCAATTTTAGGCACCACGGTTAGGGCTCAAATAATTCCACTTCTATCTAATGTATTCTGCTTCACACTTGCCTACTTGCAAAACGAGAGGCGGCTGAGGGGAGCAGTAGAGCGCATGCTTTAGCATTCACGGGGTCTTGGGTTCACCGCAGTACCTCCGTTAAATAAATAAATAAATAAAAACCTAATCCCCCCTCCAAAAAAAAAGTAGAAAAAAAAAGAGAGGTGGTCGATAACAAGTCACCTCTCCTGTCCCCATTAGAGGAGTGAACAGGGAGCTTGTGGGAGGCTCCGGAGAGACCTCGCCGGAGTGGGCAGCCCAGTGGGCGCCCGGCCTGGGTCAAGTAAGGGACACGTGCCCCCGGCCAGTGTCCCTGGTGTGGCTGCCCTGCCCCTGACTGTCACCTGCTAACGGTCAGGACCAGCTTGCCCGACATCATGGCTACATTTAGTGTCATGATGAGCAATAAAATTCACATGTTCTTTATTTAGTCTGTATAATACACCATCTTTAGAGTTTTTTTTAAATTAGATAAAAGAGCATATTAAATGGCAAGTGTATGAAGTTTCTCTTCATAAACAATGTGTCAAAACAAAAAGTTCTGAATTACAAAATGTTAAAAAATATGTCAGTACTTAACATTTCACTAAAGCATCAGGTTACAGATATTTTCTAAAGAAAAATAATTATGCCACTTACCTATTTTTGCTGTTTCTATGAACTTTTTTTTATTCTGTACATAGGACATTTTGTACAAAATATGAAGTCTACATTTTTATTATTCATTACCATAAAACAAAGATACAATGTATGTACAATATTAAAAGGAAACCATACTGAAGCCGCACTAAAAAGACACTTGGAATAGTGACGTTTCTGATGTACAGATACATTTCGGAAAGAGTGAAGATGCCAAATGCAGAACTTTATGAAGAAAAACAGTCACCAGTTTATTTTCCACGTAGTACTTCTGAAATCAGTTTGGCGCAGAATAAACAGTGTATCTATATAATAATACGCAAGTTGGACAGTTAGCGCAGGGATTCCGAGTACTGACCCGGAGCCTGTAAAAGGCCAGAATAGTAAACAGTGTCTCTTGTCAAAGAAAATTAGTTTCTCTCAAAACTCCCCCCCCCTTTTTGGTGAATGTTTGTCTTCAATAAAGAGCATAAGTAAGACCTAGACAAAAAGATGTTCTTATACGTTGAGCTTTACACATCACCCAAAGAGCGACAATTTGCTTTTTCCCCGGGGCCAAAGGAGAGGCTTCCCAGAAACCTCGCTCCCAAACACACTGAGCATCCAAGTCAAGGATCTTTGAGAATCTATCAGCTAAAGACGGAAGTTCAAACAATGGTATATCAAAATACGTAAGACACTGCTTTATACAATAAAAAGCACCCTTTTTCCCTCAAAAGGAGAAGGCATCTAAACTTCTTTTAAATGATAAATTTCATAATGGTAAAGTGGACAGGTGCTTGTCAAGTTTCTCAGGAAGTGTTTCTTCTCACCTGGCGGGCTTCTCCGCTTTCTGCCGGGGCAGCCTTTTTGTTATCTGCTTGCTCTTAACACAAGAAATCCACCCCCTCCCGCCCAAAATTGTTTTCCTCCAAGACACAAAGAAATAAACATTGTCAGTGGATTTCAGTGAAACCACCGGGTGTCAGGCACCACGGCTGCACCGGGAACCACGTCTGCTTTTCACAACGTTTCAGTGGCTTCCCGAGACCTCGACTGAAAAACAGATCCTAAAAGAAGCCACGTTTTATCTTTGATGCATCAAGACATTTAATGTGAAGTTATAGCATCTTATGCCGGAGACAGAGGGAACTAGACCCACATGGTTAGAGGAGTGGTGCACATCTCAGCTCGCTTTCAAGCAGGAGAAAGAAGTCAAAACACTGGCCACCCTGAGAGAAATACAGAACAGACCGAGCGCTGAGTTTAGAGATTCTTCTCCTAGTGCTGTCCCGTCAAAAACGAAAAACTCCATACATGCAGGGAAGTCTGAAATACACAGCAGCATCTGAAAACTGGTGAGAACTCAAGACACTGTGTTTCCTGTCTGAGGTGTCTGTAACGTGTGCTCTTTTCAACAGAGAGAGACTCGTTTGAAGCCACCCCCGCGGCCGCCGCCTCTGAGCTCGGGGAGCCTGGCTGCGGAGAGGGGTCGGGGCAGTGCCGTCTCTGCGTCTTTCCGCCCACTGGGCCCAGGACTGGCCTCGCTCAAAATGATCTCCTCCTAACTTTTACAAAGTGTGGGATTCTCAGAGAAGATAATTTTTACTAATCCAAGAGCCTGGTTCAAGGGCAATGACACGTGAGCAGAGAGAAAAAAAAATTCTGCAAGCAAAGCCAGGAAAACATCACTGAAAGACTCCAATTCCAGGCAAGAGAAAGCTCTTTTTAAAGCAGATTTCTCCTGTGAGCTTGCTCCTGGGGTCCGGGCGCGGGACCCAGACGTGGGGATATGGCTTTAGCTCTACCAGGAGGAGGACATGGTGCAGAGCGACCTGAGCCAGGGAGCAGCGGCGGAGGTGGCCGCGCCACCGTCCCCGTGAGCTGTGTCAGAAACACGGAAGCAAAGAACCACTTCAATGAGATTAAAAAAGAAAAACCCCCAAAAAACCAAAAAAGCCCCAAACCCAAACAAACCCCCCCCCAAACCCAGAAAGAAACGGCTGGCGTGACAACCACTGGGATGCAATCTCAAAGGCTGTAAAGTCTTTAAAAACACGTAATACTTTTTAAAAGTGTTCCTTTGATTCGAAGAACAGGGGTATTACAGCACAGGGCCGCCTGTCTGGGATGATGACCAATTCCGTTTGGGAAGATGCTGAGCCGGGCGCTTTCCTTAGCTCTGCCTTGGGGACACATCTTATCTGGGGCCGTGCAGGGTCGCGGGACCCTGGGTCAGCCCCGGGAGGTCACCATTGTTTGAACTCCTAGTCTTGAGCTGAGGCGGAGGGACGTTATTGCGCACAGAACAGGGTCGGGGAAAGCCTGGACTTTGAGTGTGACTGATCGGTATGGCACGAAGAGCTCGGGGTTCTACGGAACCAGAGCCGCGGCGGGGGCTAGCGCCCGTCCTGGGGCACCAGGTCCTCGGCTCGGCTGTGGGCCTCCAGGGCGCTCTTGGTGTGTAGGTCCTCAGGCAGCTCGGACTTGCGGCGCACCAGGGGCCGGTCCTTCTTCGGGTCCTTGTGTGCCTGGAATGAAAGCGCAGCGGTGTTGGCTACTGACCTCGGGAAGCGCGCTCGCTCTGCCTGAGCCCGCGGTGCACACGCCCCCGGTACCTCTTACCATCCCGTCAAGCACGCAGGTTTGTCTCGTCCGTGATAAGCCACCCGCTGACTCGTGGGGAGGATGGTGTGCACAATACTGGCATTTTGCTCTCCTAAAGTGTGTAGCTTTGTACAGGGCACTGGCTGCCTCTACTCGGCACATTCACCAGTTCTGATAAATCCCATAAACAGTAAAACCTTCCTATTTCATAAAATGTTACCGAAGCCACTGTATGGCTATGTCCATTAGGGAGGCATTTCAGGAAGTCGAAATTTTCCTTGGAGGTAAATAAAAAGAATAAATGACAAACATATTTAAACTGCGTTCAAAGCCAATAACAGCCCTAAAACTTCTATCAAATTTGAAAACAGATACTTAAAATGAGAAGTATTAAATGGGTCGTGCAGGAAAATAAACCCTCTGGAACTCAGAAAAACTACATTTGATTATTTACATAAAATTTCCTAATATTAAGGGGAAGAAATAAAAGACTCCCCTCTCAAGCCCATTTTCTTCTTAAAGTTTGGACATTTTGGTTTTACTTAAAAAAAATTAAATGAATCCCCTTTTGTATGAGGATTTAGTGAACTGTGTCTGCAAAGAAAGGAGGGGCCTGATAAGGGGCGTTTATACCCCGGAAGTGCCCATTTCCATGAATAACAGTGAAACAAGCTGCTCAGTTTGGAAGTTGGGCCACTACATTAACACCAGTGTCCCTGAAACAAAACAACAGGCCCCCTGAGCCATCAGCACATGGCGTGCGGCCAGGAGACGGCAGGTCGTGAGGACCTGCAACAGACCACGTCCTCCTTTCTGCTTGGTGTCTCCAGCAGAAGAGAGACAACGTTCAAAGAGAGGAAGGCCTCCCTGGTGGTCCTCAAATGTCCACTGGAAAGAACTCGCACTAAGTCAATCGCTCGGCAGTAAGAACACGTCCCCACCGACTCCCCCGCGCGTCCGACGTCCTCGGTGTGACGTGCACAGCGCACCTCTCTTCGCTTTAATGAAAAGTCCAAGGACCTGCAGAAGCCCTACGCGACAAAGCTCACACTTCCGCAGAGTTAGTATTTCTTAGGGTCCTTTGCAGATTTATCTAAGAAAACCGCAACAATGTCAAGGTTTGGAAAGAATTTTGGGTGTCTTCATTTGAGGATTATTACCAGAAATGTTACTTGAACATTAACGGTCACTCCTGGTAAAGGCAGGAATTCTCTGATTTTTTTCCCCCTGGGAACTAGCATAACATGGCTTCAGGACAACTGCCCCGACCGGAGACTGCGGAGGCCCGACCCTGAGGGACGGGCCGTCAGGGTCACAGTCCCTGCAAGAGCCCCCTCATCTCCGAGCCACGAGAAACTCAGAGGGAAAATCTGCCCTGAGTTTTACGTCTGCCCCTTTCTGAGCTTTAGAGCCAAGCAAAGCAAAGCAGAACAAAACCCAAGGCTTTCATGTGCCCGAGGCATTTCAGCTCAGCTACGACAGGTGCTCCAAAGAGAGACATTCTGGTAGAAAAAGGCAAAAGCAGCAACCTAGGAGCTGGAACCAACAGACACAGACTGAGAAAGCAGATGTGGCCCCGGAAGCTTCCGAAGGACAGAATGTGATGAACCCGCCTGAGCGTCTGTGTAGCCGTTTCAGAGCGGTGTGCAAAGCAGAGAGCAATTTCACAGACCACAAGAGAGATCAGGAAAACAGGAGGCAGGAGAGAGAGAGACGGGTGTGGGCGGGCACCGCGAGTGAGTGACTCTTGGCGGAGGGCCGTGCGGGCAGACAAGCAGTGGACGGTGGGGCAGACAAGACAGACGGAAGCGATGCCCCAGACGTCTGGGCGGGGACGCGAGCGGGGGCGCCTCGGCCTCCGCCTGCAGCGCGGTGGCAGCTCCCAACGGCTGAATCCACACGGCAAGCGGGAAACCGCCACCAGGGCTGGGGCGTGTGTAAGACCGCACGTTTTCACTGCTTAATTTAGGACAAAACTCATGAAAATCTCTTGAGGGGCCAGATGTCTTTGTCTTCACCACCACAGGCTGGAGTGACAGGGGAGAAAAGGGAGGATGCTTCATGTACATAACACCGTCAGCTCCTTCCCAAAACATAAAAGCCTAAATACACGCCTGCGTGCTGAGTGGGGAGTACTGTCACTTCTCCCTTCCTCGTCTGCGTGGCTGACGGTGCTTTCCCCCGAACGACTGTTAAAAATGAGGACTGCAAACACTTCCAGTGTCTCTGACTTCAATGTCATTCACGTGAAATGCACTACAGTTTTTTTTGGAGGGTCTACGTAAGGGTGCGTGGTTCTCAAAAGAAACCCAAATTATGGTTCTGACAGGTAAATATATAGTTGAGTTTCTTCCACAAAATTCCTACCAGCAACATTCTACCAGCATTAGGGTCTCCTCTGCCGGCTTCTCCTGTAAGACTGTCATTTACCTCACACGTGTCCTGAGCCAACGTTTGAACCATTTCAAAGAAATGCGGAATTATTTCTGAAAAATAAAATCAGTTGAAAATAAAGGGGCATCGAAAATGTTCACATTACTAAATATAAAAGCTGAAGAGCCCACTTTTTAGCTATAACTTATGTCAATTTGGTCTCCATATGATGCACATAAATTTTCCCTGCATCTCAGTACCTTCTTTTTGCTTTAATAGTGTTTTTGAGAGTTTCAGGGAATGACTCCAAATGTCTTCAAGTTAAGAAGAGTCTGTCATATCAAATATTGTACCTCAGAGACTGTGCTATAAATATCTTCGTCTAGAGGGGTGGATATTTGGGGCTCTTGGCCTCCTGACTTTATTCTCTCTCAGTTGTTTCGGCTAGTCTAGGTCCTCTGCATTTCCATGTGAGTTTTAGGATCAGCTAACTTATTAAAAAAAGAAAAAGCCTGCTGGGGATTCTGACTGGATTGAGTTAATCTCGAGGAGAAGTGATATCTTAACAGTGTGGTGGTCTTCCAACCCAGAAACGTTGGCCGCAGAAATCTAAAGGTAAGTCTGGGGGAACAACTGTTGTGAGAATATCAGGGACACAGAAAACTCACTTAGAGGATCTAATTTCAAGGGTCATGGAAACACTGTGGAGGTGGTTTCATAGGTATGTACATCTATCACAACTCATCCAATTGCACATCTGACACATGGCGTAGTTTACTGTGCAGAAACCATACCACAATAAAGCTATTAAAAAAAAGTCATGAAAACAAACCAGCAAGCTGTTAAGAGTTCTCCAGAAACATCCTGTCTGCATGTTGTGGCTCCGAACCAGCGAGGGGGTGACCACAGAGACTGCTTCCTTCGTCACACGTTCCTCCCCCTCCACGGGCCGCCGGAGGCTCCCCGGCAGTGGCCACCACGTGCACACTAGAGCCGACTTTCAAAGGCAGTTCTACTTAAGACGAGAACACTGTTTGGACTTGTGCTCTCGGTGCCCCAGAGCAGGCCCTGAATCACTGACACGTCCACAGACCACGTAATTGTGTAATATGTTCATTGCCCTTTTGGGCATAGTTTATTCTTTTCCTGTCTTTAACGATCAAGTCAAAGTCTGTACCAAAAAGAAAATCCTCCAGCACTGAATTATTTACTGTGTAAGGACTGACTTGAAAACCACCGATTTCCTTTTCTTCTCCGTACGGCCTGAGCGACTTAAAGACTGACGTGTGGTTACAAGCTCACAGGCAGGCCTGCTGGGAGGAGGGACACTGGTTTTGAGCTCCTCTGTCTGCAGTAATGAGGCTGGCGTTCATGTCCAGCACATTTGAAGCCATAAAATCAAAATGGTAATCAAAGAGGTGACCTCAAATTCTTTCCCAAGTTAAATAAAAATCAAGAAGTGGGAACAGTAACACCCCCATAAGCAGAAGAATGAAAAACAAAGATTGTCATGCTTTTGATCCAGTCAGTTCATTGCTAAGACTATTAGTTGTGAGAACATTACGGAATCAACTGGATTAAGTAAGAAGCGAGACACTGATGTTTTCCCACTGCATTTTTAGTGTTTGCATCCACCTGTCTCTGCTTTAACTTAAGACCAAGAACTAGCTGGGTGGGGACAGCCACGGATGAGTCCGGGCAGCCTCTCCTGCACGAAGGGTGCCTGGACCAGCGCGGTCCGGCCGGAAAACAAGGCCAGCCAGGGGTGTGATTCTAAACTTTCTAGTCAGCCACGTTAAAAGAAAGAGTGAAAAGCAACAGGAGAAATTTAGTTTAAGAATGCTTTTCATTCAACCTAGCATATCCAAAATAGCACTGACACATTATCAGGAGCAGAAGAGCACGCAGGAGGCATTCCCGGGGTCTCCTCCTCACACAGGCCGGGCTGTGTGTGCGTCTGGGCTGGCGCCACAGCTTAGGGCGGTCACGTGTCCCGTGTGCCCTGGGCAACGCCGTCTGCATGGTCTAGACCACGGGCTCTTGGCAACGCCTGAACCTGTCTGATCAGGTGGGGGATACAGTTTACTTGAATTAAAAACAGACAAGACAAATGTCTTTCTCAGCATCTGCACATCTTCAAACAAAGGCCCATCTGTGTCCATTGCCACCTCTCTCTGTCTAACTGAGCTCAGAACGACGCGACCATCTACGACCCCTCTGCACTCAGCCCGCAGCAGGACTCTGGCCTCTCTAACCTGTTACATTTCGGGGCTGTAGCGCTGGACGTCTTTCAGAACCTTTCCACAGCTCAAAGGGGATTAAAGTTTCAGAGTCAGAAAGGGCCACGTCCCCAAATCCAACCAGCACTACACAGTCTGCGTGGACTGAGAACGGCTGCGCTCAGGGGCACACAGCACAAGGGTCCTCCCTCGGGCAGAGCTCCGTACGCTACCCTCTGTGAAGCCCAAATCGAATGCATTCCCAGTTTAGTGACAGGAGACTTCCTTTAGATCAGTGGTGATCCTAACGTGTATTTCCACAAAGGGGAAAC